TATATATATATATATATATAAAGGTTTTTAAGAATAATTATTTCATGAATCCATGACAATGAATGCCGGCCAAATATTATTATCATGGTAATTGGGAAGGATACATTTCAATTTAAAAGTTCTAATTTTTAATGGTGATTGACAAAGTGGTGGCAATGGTGGTGAGACTTGACAATAAAGTAAGTTTGCATGGCTGTCTTTTTTGGGAAATTTAGTATGTAGCCGACTTTTTCATGTAATTATATATCTCGTACCTAAACTTTCGTTTTTAAATACATAGCGGTAATGTAGTGTGGTGTTTTAAACTTATGCATGAAAATGTGTAGTTCATTTTTGAAAAATATTCATAATTCCATTTTTTATGTGATATTAATGATTTCCATGCTATGCATATAAATATGGAAGTTTAGATATGAGATAGGTAAAGATTCCCTCTTTTTACTTTTTTTCTCTCTAATTTTCTTATTTAAATTTTGTTGAGGTTTTATGAGTGTTGCTACTTTAACCCCTTGAAAAATCAACTTGTATTCAAGCGAATATTTTCATATGTAGTTATTTGATTTAGAAACTAAAAGGGGTGTATGTCGGTTGTAGTGGTATGATTTTAACAGAAATAAATAAATCAAACCCCCAAGATAAAAAAATGATCATATAAAATATCACTATTGCATTTTAGAATATTTGTAATTGTAGAGATAAAAAAATGGACATCTTAGTTTTGTAATAAACTCCTGCACACAAATAAAAGAAGAATTTTGTAGGAGACGCCCAAATTTTTTATGTGACAAATCTAGTAAAATAAAAACTGTAGGACTTGACATAGCTAAGATAATCCAATATACAAGTAAGATTACATTTTCCTTCAAGTAGAAAAGGCACCATTACAAAATTGAAAGCACTAGCTTCGTTTCTTATGATCAATATTTCAATCTTTTGGGTTTAAGACCATTCATAATGAATATTTAAATCTCCATAGTCTTACTTATAGCAGAAGGCTTTAAGACCTACCATCAATCCTTCCCCTTACCAAGAGATTGTAAGTCCCATCTATATTTGTGGAGTTAATTCAAACATTTAAATTGTCACCAACTAACCTCCTATGTATTTTTTTTTTATCTTAAGGGAAATATAGACTAGAATATCTTTAAGCTTGGTCATATCTTTATAACTTCCATCTATACCCTCAAGTTAGGTAACAAGCTAATAAGTCCCACGCTTATCACTTTGTATGATCACATTCTTATAGCCTCGCATGCATATCGGTGTTGGATCATAACCTCATAAGCCCCATCCACAACATCATTTTGGCTCATAAGTCTTTTGTTTTCTTGAGCTAAGCATAATCATACAAGTCTTGCATACATCTTTTGTCTAAGCTAGAATTTTATAATTATCACTTTAAGTGTACAATTAGAAGTAATAACCTTCCCAATATTAAGACCTAGATATCAAGAAGAATTCATCGTTCATTAAAGAGGGTACCACTTTACTTTTTGCTTAAGGTGGTGTTTTGAAGTTAGTCAATTTGAGCTGACTTATGGCTCCATATTGAGACAACTAATAACCTTCTATCATGCAAATGATAAGCACCATAGTAATTTGTTCCTTTAAAGTCAAAGCTCATGATAAAGGCTTATTGTAGCAAAAAAACCCTCATGCATAAGCTTTGGAGCTCATTTTTGTTGAATTAGCAAAATTTTATCTTCAGCAACTAAACATGCTATAATCACACAACTAGTACCTTAAAGTCGTATGTTAATATCATTAACTTTACTCATTTAAATATAATTCTTTTGATCTAACTTTGATATGAATAAAACCCGATGTATTAAACCTTTTATTCTAACATTCGTGAACCTATAAAACAAAGTTTTTCATATCTTTATAAGCCTTTTCTATCAATAACAGACTCTAAGCCTTACTTTGAAGGGATATATCTTTTATTATATAGTCAGCCTGATCAACTCAAGGATTTGATAGGTGATGATTAATGGCTACTAATGAGATTATCTAAACGTTGTCTTCTTCTAAACCTCCATCATTTTTATATAGGCTAAGTCCACCAAGTTGACTTATTGAGAAAAGTCTTGTACATCAAGTCCAAACAAAAGAACTTTCTTCCACTAAAATAAAAACAAACTTTAATCATTTTCATTGGTTGATCAAGAAAAATCTTTCAGAGATTATTCTAGTTTTTATTTAAAATTACCTGTAGCTCAATATTCCATTTTTAAAATTTTGACCTAAAAAAAGGAGAAGTGAATTATATCATAAATTAATGAAAACCATTTTAACCCTTAAAAATTTTCATCAATAACAAATCAAGGCTACAAAATAAGTTAAGGGAAGGATAAAAAATAAGTTATTATTTATGTATATATATAT